CTCTCTCTCTCCCTGCCCTGTCTGTCTGTCTCTTTTTCTCTTCCGTGAACTCTTAAGCGCACGTGCTCCTCGTAAAAACGACTGCGATATTAGTTACACCTACGAGCCTTTAAAGTTCCTCCCAAAGGTTCTCGGCGCTAAGTGTTGGTGTCCGTATACGATTCTTGTCATCTATTAACACCCCGAACGTCTTCCTCACACACACACACACACACACACACACGCGCGCGCACGCACACACGCACGCACGCACGCACACACTGGACAAATAAAACTCAAGCGTGGACGACCGTTTAACTTTAAAATATGCGTTAATAATATGAAACCGTGGTCCCAAATCGATTTTTCAAACATTCCGTCTTTCGAATACTGATGCTTATCGGCGATCTTCCGTATTCAATCCTGACAAGTCGCCCGCTCGGAATTCCACGTCTTGCACGTTCCGCAGATCGATCGGATGAACGACAAGACTTGTCCATTGCCTGACGATCGCAGATGACGAGAGAGAGAGAGAGACGATGTTCCATTTCCCGGTTCGAGGAATTCACGTTTCACGTGGTTCCCCCTCACTATACGAGGAGCTATGCGTATGTCAACGTACACGCGAACTAAAGTGGGGAATCCTCTTAGGTTAGTCCAGGCTGATCCGCTTCCTCGAGCGATTCTCTCCAAAGGAAGTTGCGTCGCTTGAGAAAGTAAGATTGATAAAAACGAGAATGTTCTCACGACTCGCCCCAATCAGTTTGCTCGGACAGGGATTAGCGCGCCTCTCACGCGCATCATTATTTTCGATCATGCGTGACAGGAAATTTATTTCCGAGGATGAATACTTTTCCCGAGAGGTGATCCGGATCCAATTAACCGCACACCACACGTTAAGTATCCAACCTCCGCCGTATCAACAGAAATAGAAAGACAACATTCTTGTGGGGCGACAAGCGAGGAAGAGTGCGAAATTATTTCTAATTGAATACACTTTAATAAATGTATTCGTTATTTAAGAGACATCTGGATTCTTCTCGTAGCTCTTAATTAAGCGCGGAGATCAAAGGATTATATACTTACATTTTAAGCGCACGTAGGAAAAAGCGATCGAGACTTTTTGTGGATACTCTTCTGTCTTATCATTTCATTTTAATCACTCTTCTCCGGTCGGTATTAATATCCCCGAATGCGATAAGCACGCGCCCTTTTACAACTGATAGCAGGGTAGTTATTAATATACAAGTAAACAGAATTAGCTCGGAGTATTTGAGCAAGTCGACAGAGGGAGGACAAGGCTCAGAGCGAAAAGATGCTTTGATGCTGGCGGCGAGGGTCAAAACTCGCATAAAGAGCCAAAGATATACGCTCGTGCTCTATCGTCGTATTATATATTCTATCTCGTTGCCCCTCCCGACCACGATAACTTCCGACGAAAGATGTGGGGAAACATACTGCTGGAACTAATTAAGCGTCCTTCTCGCTGACCCCGTAGCTTACTTCGCGTTGATTTAAATTCTATTCCAAATTTTTCATTTCATCAGTTGCCAGAAAGAGAACGAGAGAGAGAGAGAGAGAATTTTCAAGTGTTTGTATTTTGACTTTATAACGAACCGAATTAAATTATATTTTTCCTGATCTTCTAAAAGAATGTATAACTTGACGAATTTACCATATCGCAACACCGATAAGTAAGACCTTAAGAAAAATAGAGTGAAAGAAGAAATCGAAAAACTTTCTGTTGAAATTCCAAGCCACTTTAGAAAAGACTAACGACGGCGCTCTTTGATTTCGTTCCCGCCACTTTACTCCAAGCTAATTTCCATGCTTAAGAAGTCGTAATCCGATCATGACCGTCGAAATGAAGAAGTTTCGCTCGCCCTTTGAGAATATCGACTTGCACTCGGCTGAAATTCGATAAAGTGCGACTTCGCGAGAATTCAACGGATGGAGAAACATTCCTCGGTCTAGCTGTTTCTCCAGCGGCGCGTTTCAATACCTTTTGATATTTCCGTGGGAGGTCAATCGCTGAGTCGGGTTTCTGGCAGCAACGATTCTGAAATCGGATAGATTTTCGTCTCGCGCGTTCCGTCGAAATTTATTCTATGAATAGGAAAACGGGATGCTACGCGATCGCGCGCGCACGCTTAATGGGAAGGCGAGAAACACAGAGGCCATTGGTCCATTGAGAGTAACGGTCTCTTCCTTTCACGAGTGTCCGTCGATCGTAGTCGAAGGCGAATGCTGGTGATTCCATCGGGAGATCTCTCTTGCCGTTCTTTTCATCCAAAACAATTTATTGTCCTACTGCGGATCGAGCTCGTTTCCTAATGTCACGAATGTCACGATCAATTGCTAGAAAAGAAGAAAGGAGGAAGAGAGAGAGAGAGAGAGAGAGAGAGAGAGAGAGAGCCGACATTTAGAAAGTCTAATAAACATGAATGAAACAAATTTAGGGAACACTGTTCTGTGTGTACTTTTATGTGTAATGTCTCATTAAAAGTAAATTATTGAAGACCCAAAGGCCATATACAAGTATTGTAACGGATTTCCGAGGATATCGGAAGAAAATTTACTGGTAATAGATTTCGAATTGATACGCCGAAAGATTTATCTCCACGATAATAGAAACAGTCTTAATTCCAGGCTTAATTCCCGGCGATCCTGAAATTCTCGATCGATTATAATTCGGAAACTTGTCGAAGCCTCTTCGGTACTTTCGATTGGGAAACATATCTATTGCAAATTGATAGCAGAATTTGCGCTTAAAATATTGTTTGCAGTCTCGAATTAGTCTTATTGAATTGTCGAATTGGACAATTGGTGATTACAGATATGTCATTTAAGTGGCGAAAGCGAATCAAAAGTATCTAAATCCGAGACAACTTTTTTATTTCTTAATTGTAATTTTTTTATTACAGTTTTAAGTTTTTTTCACTTACCGAGTTTTGAACTTTGGACCTCGGGATGGGCATCGCTTTTCTAATGCAATAATAAT